TTATTCTTAATTGATTCATGAGAACACACTCCTGTGGTATTATCTACATATATTTCACATTTAGGTTAATAATACCTTTGCATGAATTGTGTGATATGCTGTGAGGTGTTAATCCAGCCATCATACATTTGCTCCTTTCAGAATTAGTTTCACTTTAAATCCCCCACCCCCATCTCCTTTTCTGATTTTTTTGCCCTCGGAAGTCGGCCAATCACTGATTTGCAAATATGCCTAATGTAGGTTGGTTGTTACAGGCTGAGTATAGGCTGGTACCAAATTCACGGTCATTATTATTGTCAGCTTTGACAAGGTCTCTTGAGAAATACTCTGAGTCCAAAACCAAATACACTGTCATCGAGCCAATTCCAACTCATATTTCCTTCCTTTCCCCTCACCCCTACTTCCTTTTCTGTGTTTTTACATGCTGCCATTTTCACAGGACCAACGCTGGTATAGGTTTGTATAGATATTGTAGTGGACAGCTATTTGTTCTACAGACTAAATGTAGCAAAATTCTGTAGGCTTTTCTTATTCTCTTGGAGAAGGTATTTGACTCTGTAGATGGACACACATGCCAATATCTGGATTTTTTAAAAATTTAGATTTCTTTAGTTATAAATCTGAATGCCAAAGGCACGCCTTGATCCAATAAGACAGCCAATAAAATGAACAATTCATTGAGTTGGGTTTGAATTTATTTATATTATTGAGATATCTTTCCACCCAACCAGAGCCACTGCCAGCATGTTGACCCTAGCTGATAGCAACCTGAGAGGACCGAGGAAAACTTGCCCTTGCCTGTCAGTTTCTCATGCTCTGGTGGCTTGAACGTTGCTCTGATGCTGGAAGCTTTGTTACTGGTATTTCAAATACCAGCAGGGTCACCCAAAATGAACAGGTTTCAGGAAAGTTTACTGACTAGCAAAAGACTATGAAGAAGGAATACGTTCTCCACTTTGGAGAAATTAGCTGCTGGAAACCTTTTAATTAGCATTTAAACATTGACAGATACTGAAGACCTAATGATAGAAGTAGAACATTATCAGAGATAATGCCAGAAGATGAGACCCTCAGCCCCGCAAGTACTCAAATATGACTGAGGAAGAAGTACCTTCTCAAAGCAGAGTCAACCCGAATGACAGGAATGGAGGGAAGCCTGTGGGAGTAAAGTCTTGGGACCCTCATTTGTTGAAAG